ATTAATCTTAAACAAGCGGTTTGTCCTAGGACGCATTAATATATTAATATATTAATGCGTCCTAGGACAAACCGCTAGATCTGATTCTATAATTCGGCTAACTAAAATTAAGCGAATTCTCACAAAATGTGTAAAAATCTTTTTATCTACAGCCAGAAGATGTTCTCAAAGTGATACAGTGGCATAAACAGTAAAAAATATTCACCATTGATTGGTTGTGAAATTAGAAAATCCTTCTCCTTCATGAATTTTACCTGGAATTCGCCCAAATCAGATGGAATCTGAAACTTATTCATTTTTTTCTGAATTTTTTTCAGGGCATTTGATATTAAAATTCCCCTATTGATCCAAATTCGTTTTGTGCAATTCCTAAAAATAAGCAATGTATTGGGTCGATTGTGATAAATCTAATAGGGTCAAAATATGGTAATTGTAATAATTCAGACTATCTTACACCAGTTTGTTTTACAAATCGCTTTCGTGAAGCATCAGAATTGCAATATCTCTATTCTAAATCATTCTGACGATGTTCAGTTAGATTTCGCATTAAGAATCAATTATCAAAATCATCTATACCGGCAAAATTATGCTGCTGATTTTCACAATTTGCTTTCTTCTCACACCTATGACATGATACTAAGGCTGAAACATGACCACATATTTTTCTAGCGGCTGGTATATCAAATGAAACAAGAATTAGAGCTGCACGAATGGTCCTTCCTTCTTGAAATTCGTATATTTTATCTATAGTTATTCCATCCCAAAGAGATTTCAATTCATCAACGATCAGTGTTAAATAATGATTTATTTTGTGCAAACTTACTTCACTTGGCCCAGGTAAGAGGCCAAGAGTCAGTAGGATTTTACATTTGAATCAGATATCACTTAGCAAATTATATATAGCAGCATAAATAACACCAATAATATATACAATGCCTTTATAAGGCTGGAACCAATCCAAGTTCAACATTAATCTAAGGTGAGAATCAGCCACTTCATTTCTAAAAAAATTTTGCGAATTTTCTTCAGAAGATTCTTTCAATGTCTGCCATATTTAACTATCATATATATCAGTTCTAATATTATCATAATGCCGACGATTTGCCCATTGTCTCAAACAACTTTTAAAACAAGGCCAATGATATATCAAAGCGAGTTGTTATCTGATTTCAGAAAATGAAAATATTAAATTAGGTTGAATTGCTACTCGATTTGCCGAAACACCGATGGTTCGAGATATAGTTGTATTGCAAAGTTGTGATTTATGGAGGTACAAATTAGGAAATTCTACATGTCAGCACTTTATTATAGCAAGTGAATCTTCTTATCTAAAATTTATCACTTCCTGTTTTTTATATAGCTTATAACATTTTGGACAAGAAACGAAGCTATGAAAATGATCTTTTAATCCAAGTTTTTTCCTTGTTAAGTACATCGAATTTGGAAAGTCTCTAAAATCATCTCTACCGATTTCTGTCAAGACTAATTTCATAAATTTTATCAAAGACTCAGTTGCTGTCTCCGTTATGTTGAATCTTATCCGAAATGTCATAATCCAAAGCAAAATCCATAAAATTTGGTTATCAATTGTTGATCCTAGATCTGGTGGGTCCTGAAATAGCTCATAATCGGGTGGTGCATAATTCTCAAATGTTTCGTAATCTTCATCATCATCTGATTCTTCATCATCCGATTCATTTTTATTACTACTACTATCTGAAATATTGTCTTCTTCAGTGGTATATTCAGAAGATTTAGAAGGCTCATCAACACTTTGTTCAGAATTTCATCAGGAGGATTTATGTTGGTTTTTGGTCGATTTTTGTATCTATTTACACGTCTTCGAGATACAAATGTAAAATCAGAATCCTCCTGATATTCATCATCTTCTGATTTATATTCAATAATTCGTCTAGCTGAAGCTGATGTTGTTGAAGACTCTCCCGTTTCTTCCTGAATTTCGAGTTAATGAAATGCATACGAAATTGAGCTTTGTGAATATCGATATCTTGTTATTATATTACACGATGATGATGTTCTAGAAGTAGAAGATATTTCTTCATCAATTAAATTAGTAATCGATCTGTTTCTTCTATAAGAAGCTGCAGTAGAAGATTGACTTGAGTCATTTTTTTCATTATCAAGTATGCTAGCGATTGACCTTTTTCTGCTCATTTTGATAAATTTTTAAAAGAGAAAAAAAAAAAAGAAAAAAAAGTTCAAAATAGAGCAATTTATAAGAATAATCTTCATATTTGTATTGTTTTATATTCTTAATATTATTTTACAGTAGGACGATTTACGTATTGTTTGTTACATGTATTATCTATCAAATAATACTTTATTTAAAGTTTCGATTCAATTATATTAAAAGTTTATTTAAGCTTATTTATTTTCGATTTATAAATGAATTACAAATTCGGGAAAGAAATTAAAATTTTATCGCGTTAGAAAAAAATTTTGCTTAAAGATATTTTTTTGGTAAAAAAAATAAAAAAAAGAAATAAAAGAAATATTATTAAATTCATCCACAACTAGCTAAAATTTCAACTAAAAACTGAATTTTATCTTATATGAATAATATCGAAAGGATATTTTGTCATAAAAAACTAATTATCAAGTAGAATTTAAGTTGATTTTTGAGAAACTGGAAGTCGAATGAGCAATATCGCAAGAATATTTTGCCAATAAGGTATAATGAGTAAGACTAATTGTATGAATAATATCGCAAGGATATTTTGTCAAAAAAACTAATTTTAAGTTGAATGAGTCAGAATTTAGGTTGATTTGAGAAACTGGAAGTCGAATGAGCA